TATGAAAAAAAATGAAAATATAGAGAATGTAACGTTGTCTGTTAAACTCTATCAGCAAGCCAGGAAAGACAGCGGATGTAAATAATACTTACATCTGCCTCGCACACAGTCACATCTTCAGCCCTCATGCATTCACCTGGAGGAAGAGAGGGCTCCGCATCAGAAAATTATCATTATCGACAAACGTCCCCAGAAAAAAAAACACAGATTACCAAAATCATACATTTTATAAGGAACGCAAGATAATATGTTAAGGTTTTCTGTCAGAATTTCCTTGAAAAGTTAATAGTGCTAAAGATAGACACATACACACACACACGCACACACACATCTATCCATCCATTCGCCAACACACACACACACACACACACACACACACACACACACACACACACACACACACACACACACACACACACACACACACACACACACACACACACACGCACACACACGCACACACACACGCACATCTATCCACCCAATCGCCAACACAGACACACACACACACATACACACTGACAAATAAAATAAAAAGGTTAGAAATCCTTTTCCATACTGGTAGTGTGTACATATGCAGGAAGGGAGGTCACCGAAGCCACGGCAGCCAAGAAGGTCAAGATGCTGATCATGATCTGAAAAATATAACATGAATATTTTGAATAACATTTCATTAGTTAAGTGTACACTTTTGTCCGATATCTTAAATCTTTTAAGTCAATTCATAATAGAAAAACGAAAACGAAAACAACAACAGAATAAAAAACACGAAAAATGAGACAAAATCTATTTTGGAAATACAGGAGGCCAATAAGTTTACCGTATCTTCCTCTGATCAAACTTCCAAGTGTTATAACTTCGCTTAAGACTTAAAAAAACAAACAAACGTGTCGCTGTAGTAGGCAGTGGTGGAATGAATGAAGATTTCAACTTCGTCCTTTTTATATACAAGATAAATGACTCAGAAACATAGTGGTTGCGAGACTCACCTTGAGATGAACTTTTTACACGCAGGCATTTCTGACGTGAACACACTTTTTGTGGTGAATTTATCAATAGAGGGAAGGTAATTCTATTGTAAAGAAGAAGGAGAAAAAAGAGGAAATATATATATATATTTGTACTTACATGTGTGGAGTTATCTGTATGAGTGATTAGACTCTGAGGAAATATGAGAGCAAAGCAAAAGGAAAAATAAACAAATATGGCAGTGATGAAAAAAAAACATATTGCTTTGTTTTCAATATCTTTCCGCCTCAAACTTATATATATATATATATATATATATATATATATATATATATATATATATATATATATATATATATACATATATATATGTGTGTGTATATATATATATATATATATATATATATATATATATATATATATACATATATATATATATATATATGTGTGTGTGTGTGTGTGTGTGTGTGTGTGTGTGTGTGTGTGTGTGTGTGTGTGTGTGTGTGTGTGTGTGTGTGTGTGTGTGTGTGTGTATGTGTGTGTGTGTGTGTATCTATCTATCTATCTATATATATATATATATATATATATATATATATATATATATATATATATATATATATATGCATGCATATGTATTATATACATATATATATATATATATATATATATATATATATATATATATATATTTATATATACATATATACATATATATATATATATATATATATATATATATATATATATATATATATATATATTTATATTTATATTTATATATATATATATATTTATATATATATATATATATATATATATATATATATATATATATATATATATATATATATATATATATATATATACATACATATGCGCTTATCTATTTATCTATGAATATTCATTTACAGTATATATCTATCTATCGATCTATCTATCTATCTATATGTATGTATGTGTGTGTGTGTGGTGTGTGTGTGTGTGTGTATGTATGTACATGTATATGGACATATACATATATATATAAATATATATATATATATATATATATATATATATATATACATATATATATATATATATATATATATATATATATATATATATATATATATATATGCAAACATACATACATATAGATAAATAGATAGATAGATAGATAGATATAGATATACTGTAAATGAATATTCATAGATAGATAGATAAACGCATATGTATATGTATGTATGTCATCGGACATCAAAAACGAAATTGACTTCATAATTTCAATTAGGCGCGATATATTAAACAATGTCATTATATATATATATATATATATATATATATATATATATATATATATATATATATATACATATATATATATATATATATATATATATATATATATATATATATATATATATATATATATATATATATATATATATGTATATATGTATGCATATACATAGATATGTATATATCTGTATATATGCATACATATACATAGATATGTATATATCTGTGTATATGTATCAATTTAGTTGAGTTTGGCTGCAGTTTTCGTATGAGTTTATTCCTTTCCCTTCTGAGGTGTAATTTAATTTGGCCTCTGACCAACTTATGGTCGCTGCCAACATTTACTTTATTAATGACTTCCACATTTTTTTTCTATATCGCGCTTATTTGAAATTATGAAATCAATTTCGTTTTCGATGTCCGATGGCGACTTCCATGTCCACTTCCGCTCTAGTCTTTTTTCGAAGAATGTATTCATGATATTGAGTGATCTAGCCTCCGCAAAGTCGACTAGCATTTGTCCCCTCTCATTCCTAGTGCCTATTCCGTGATTCCCCACTACGGTTTCTCCTTCTGTCTTTTTACCTATTTTGGCATATAATCTCCCATAATTATTGTGAAATAGGTTTTTACTCTTTCGCTGCCTAAATTAACATCTTTCTACTTCGTCATCACTGTGGCTGCAGGTTGGAGCATAGTTGTACCTATCATTTAGTTTTATTGTTCCCGAAGCTACTCTTTCGTTTATACTATGGAAATCTACGATATTTTCTTAAACGTTTGTGAACTAAGAAACCTACCCCTAATTCTTGCTTGCTACCTTGAGGTTTACCTCTCCAATAGACCGCGTGTCCATCATTTATATATATGTATGTATATATATATATATATATATATATATATATATATATATATATATATATATGTATATATATATATATATATATATATATATATATATATATATATATATATGTATGTATATATATATATATATATATATATATATATATATATATATATATATATGTATATATATATATATTTATATATATATATATATATATATATATATATATATATATATATATATATATATATATATATCTTCTGTTCTTCGCCTAGTCTTCTAACCTCACAGAGTCCTACAACATCCCATTTAATGAAGTAATGCTAGTAAGTCGGATTCCGTTCTCATTGTCCTTATATTATATGTGCAAACGTTCATCAACGTGTGGCGGCCTGTTCTTGGCCGGAGATTCTTAGCACCCTCTGCTCCGGAGCGATCCTGATCACCGCCGTAACCAGGGGCTCCTTCGCTTCCGGCAAATGAGGGCCGTTGCTCTGTTTGTGCTGTCATGGGTTTTAATTGTGAGGTAAACAGCCGAGTTACCTCCCACCTACTGGCCTAAATGTATATTGGTGGGAGGGGGAGTATTTTAGCTGGGATGCCACTGATAAGCCCCTCCAGCAAGGTTGGCCCTGTCTAGTGTGGACTTATGAGCAGCAACGCGCGGGCCTGATTACACCAGGGTATACTCCCGTGAGCATGGACTTGAGTATCAGAAGTGCGTATATGTGTGGTTGTATTTTAAACACTGATTTTATTTATGCGTATGTGTGCTTAGTGCAGGCATAGTTGTTCACCCGCAAATGCCCCAACTACTACGCATATGGTCATTTTCGTGCACATGCACATGAAAGCATACGCCAACCATGCGTATGTATATACATATATAAACATGCGCGCACTTCATATGTACATATGTGCATACATATGTATGTACTCACCCACGCTTATGCACACGCATTCATGCGCACATACCTTGAATACATACGACTATGAATATCTATACAAATATACATATACATACATGCACACACACACATACATACATATATGTACACATGCACACATATATGTATATATACACACTTATATACATATACATATACATACATATGCACACATATACATACATATACACACATATAAATATACACATACATACACATATATACATACACACATAGCTACCCATACATATGTACATACATACATATACTCATATACCTACACAAACACTTATACTAATACAGATATAAACGCAGATCCACAGAAACATATATGTACATATACATGCACATACTCGCACATACATATGCAGTAACATATATACACCAATATGAATATATACGCATGTACGTACATATACCCATATTTACGTATATATTGATTCTCTTTCATGCACACACACATGGATACGCACACGCACTCATACTCATGCACAAACGTTTGAACACCGTCTGCACACACGCACTCCATTATTATGAGCCCATTATTATGAGTTTGAGGTTAGAGGGAGTCAGAAAGGTGATTTTGTGTCTGGTAGTTTTTCGGAGAGATGTCGCATTCTTTAGCGGTTGCTAAGCTTACCGGCTTGCGCCCTCGGCCGACCGCGGCCACAGGTCACGGGGTCAGCGTCTGGCACTCGATTGAGGTGCCATCGCTTGAATTACGCTTTGTTAATGCATAGCTTATCTGGTGGGATTACTGTCGAATGGCTGATTGTATTTGACGCTTTAAGGTAACTATGTTTAGACCTACCTGATTTTATGATGTACTGTACTTACATACTGGCGGTTTGGTTCTTCCGTAGGGAATCTACGGAAGAACCGTGCGATTTGGCAGTTGCTCGGCGTCCTGTGGGTATGGGGACCGGTGATGCTTGCAATTTTCATTTGGT